AGAACTCTAAAGGACACTGCAAAAGACAGAGGTGTGTTAAAGTGGTCTAGCTATCCACAATATTTTTAAGCATAATAGTTGAGAGAAAAAAAGGATGTAAATTGTGTCACTTGATCTAGGATATCATTCAAAAAACTAAGTATTTTATTGCAGAGATGATGGGAAAGTAGAAAATGCGATAAAGACATATTTGTAGTTATCTCTTCTCCAGAAACTTGCCAACTGACAAAAGCCATCTGGGAATCCTAGAAAGGAGGACATGTCCTCCAAATAAAGCAAGGTTTCCCAGCTTCAGCATTACTCACATTTTGGACTGGATAAGTCTTTGTTCTGGGCTGCTGTCCTGTGCACTGCAGAATGTTTAGCAGCACCCCTGGCCTCTACTGGTAGCACTAGATGCCAATTGCCCCCCTTAAGTCTTGCTGATCACAAGATATGTTCAGATATTGCCAAAGGGGCCTTAGATGAGGGAGCTCAAAATCCTCCCTGGTTAAGAACCACTGGAATAAACCAACAAAGTTTTGTCCAATGCCTGGGAAGTAACACTCTCACCACCTCAACTCCCTAGGAGATTTGCCCATTCTCACCTTCTAGAATGCTCTCCCATGTGCTCCTAGAACATTTTAGGTATAATATAGAAAAAAACCATTTAACCCAGAGAAAGAAAAGCTAAGAGATTTTGGCAGAGCTTCAGCTGAAGTTGCTGCTAATAGCGTCTTCTTATCAGCATTGGAACTATGAGATAAGGAAAAGGCCATAAATAATAATAATCACGACCTGCATTTGTAAAGCATTAGACATCTTAAAAATGATTTCCTGTCCACTGCACCTCAAATTCTCTTAGGTACTTTATGAAAGAGGCTATTATTCCCTCTATTTTGCAGATGAGGAGATAAGGCTCCCCGAATTTGAAATCACGTGGCTGATAAGAAACGAAACGAGGACTTGATCCAGATTTTTGACTCCAAGTTCAGTGCTCTTTCCACAGAGCTGCCGTGTGAGGCCAAAACGAGTTATTATTTTTGTAGTTGGGGAGGAAAATCTTAAACCAGTTCACTGAATTAGTCTTGACAGAAAGCCTGAAAGTTCATGCTCTAGGACATTAGTAATGCAGGCCGATTGCTTCCCTCCTCAGAAAGAGGTGACCTCGCAGAAATCAGCGGTGCTGCCTTCGAGGGGCTCCCAGAGACCATCACCTTAGATAATGCACATCCTCCCCCGCCCCCCGACACACACACAACCACAGGATCCCTTTCAGTCCTCATACCCAATGCTGTTTTTCCTCTCATTTTATCAGAAAAGCCTATAGTTGAAAACGGGGAGTTGGGGGTAAGTGAGTTCTAAAAGCCAGTGAGTGCCAACAGCAAGGATTAAATTATGTGCCCTCACCTCCATTTATGATTTTTCCCCCTCCTTTGGTTTACCTCTGTTGGATTTCTTAAGGCTGCCCTGTAAAAATAAGTTGTCAGCACTTGAGTTTGTGTGATGCTAAACTTACACCCTTAGCTCTCTGGTTACCGGTAATATAACGGGAAAAGATATATACATAGACGGGTATGTGTTTTGAGTTTGCTGAAGTGTGACAGAGGTTCTGTAATGTTTGGACGGGAGCCTTATTCCTGTCTGCATGGTTTATTCCTGCTTTTCGGTGGTATTTAGAAGTTCTGTTTGTCTAAGGGTTTGATCCTCATGCAGCGGTGTTTGAGTCTGACTGGCGGAGCTATCACTGCCTGTCAGAGCTCCTCCCTCACTCCCCCTGCCCTCAGATAAATCAAGTGATTTGATAAGCAAACGGGGTGTGAACTGAGTCCCCCGCCCACAAACGTCCTGGTGACAAATGGCAGCAGTTTTCTCCAATTTAGACAGTAGGGTGAGGGCAGTAAGAATGGATTTGGCACAAACACACAGAATTTGGGAATGCTAAATGACCACCAGATTCTCATCCTGGTGGAATCATAGGGACTTTTTTTTTCAGGCTTTTGGAAAAATATTTGATGAGCCAAAAGAAACCCATTTAACAAAACAGAATGCAATTCAATAGTTATTCAAAGTGAGCTTGGCCAATATAACATATAGAATAACTGGCTAAACCAAATCATAACATTGATGGAGATAATGTTTACTATGAACCATAGATTACTAAGTCAGCAACATAGCACTGCAAAGAAAAACATCTACTATGACCTTGTTCTGAATAATTAGAAATATAAAATCCACTATTTGTCAAAATTATAGTAACTAGTTCTTACTAGGAATTGCATTCTCTCTCTTTGATAACAGGCACTGTCCAAAAGGGGGAACATGTGATCCAACCTTGGCCAACGAGAGGTTCCATATCCTTAGCTAGAACGATTGGTTCAAGAGTGAGCACACGACTTAAGCTCAGCCAATCAGAGTTCCTCCTCCAAATTAATTGAATCAAATCTAATGGGAAAGATCCCTAAAGTCTTCAGCCCTAGAAACAGGAGAGCGGGAGCTACTAACAAAAATGTTTTTCAACTAGGAAAAGCCTCTCAGCAATCCGCCACAGTCTTCCTTCAATTCTATGAGTTTCTATAATATCCTTCTACTAAATCTTTCAATTATGTATTTTGCCTAAGCTAGTCTAAAGTTGGTTTCTGTCACATGCTTCCAACATGCTTGTTATATGCCGACCCTTAAATTGCTACTCTTACTACATTTAACTGTAGTTACCCCCCTATTGAGGTGTCTAAATGTCAGTTTTGCATCTATTATAAACCAGGGAATGATGAAGAGACTCTGAAAGGGATGGTGAACAAGATTACACAGCTGGGCATAAGTCAGTGAGGGAGTGACAGCCTTTACTTTATAAAATAGAAAACTGAGAGATGCAAGATTATTTTCTTGGGACTTGGAAGATATGGAATAACTGCTTTCTTCCTTATAAAAGTTTAAAGGAAGCAAGATTTTCAGAGATAAATACCTATTATATACCTACAGGGGGTAGGGTGGTCTAAAGCATGTCTTCAGATCAGCTCAAGGAATATCTGAGCTCAGTGATGATCTGGCTCTGTGCCAGATCCAGTGCTAGCTATTGGTGCACACACAGAGAGGCAGACATTGTGCCTGCTCTTGGGCTTCACCATCTAGGTCTTGGAGCCACAAAATAATTCAGAATATTCTTTCCATGGCCAAGAAAGATCATTTGAAAGAAAGACTGAAGGGCTGAAGGGGTTTTACATAAACAAAAACTAAGAATGTACTAGAAAGCCTACCATTTGCCAGGCTCAGAGTGGTCCAAAATATGTAAATACTGACCAAAAAGGATCATCTCTTAGAAACAGAGATTAGTCTGAATTAGACACAGACGCTGCAAACCAAGAAAGCAGAGGGCTTGTAAACTGGCCAATAGAGGTGCATAGACATCTGGCAACAAGCCTGTTTCTATCTCAGAAAAAACATGGGAACTAGATCCATGTAACATGTGGGCCCACTTGCTTCCTCCAAACCAGCACAAGCATAACAGTGTAAGTGCCCTGGAGAAGAAAGTGGTTCCTGAAAGAGACACGGTACACTTGAGAACTAAATATTTTGTGTTAAATGCTGAGATCATAACACCCAGAGGGAGACCTCTGCTCAGTGTGGAACTGAGTACCCTCCTGTATTGGGGGATCCCCAAGAGCACCTTTGGTTTCAATGGTTCACTAGAGCGACTCACAGAACTCAGAAAAGCTGATGCATTCACAGTTTATTACAACAGAAGGATGCGGATTCGAAGCAGCACAGGGAAAAGGGGCAGAGAGTGGAATCCAGGACAGACCAAGGAAACGGTCCGCTACAAGGGACAGTCACCAGATGCAAGCGAGGGGAGAATCAGTCCTCTAGATCTTGAACAAACAATGCAATCGGAGGGAGGAAGCAGAACAAACACATAAAAAATAATTAAAGAGATAAAGAGGGTAGTAGAAGCCAGATAGAAAGAATTGAAAGATATAAAAATTGCATGAATTTTGACTAAAATCAACGACCCAAAATAATTACTTTGAAATTGTAAAGTCAAGGGACAGGTTAAATAGCACGTGAGACAGCTGAGCTGGACTGTGTACATTTTACCCTCAACAACTGTTTTTAATCACCCCTGCTTTATAAACACAGTCTTAGATGCATAAGGTTGCATTCACCTTTATTGACCCTTGGCTTCTCAATTATTCGATTCATCTGCCTCGTTTGCAGTTTCTATCCTAGCTCTCTCTGTTCACCTCTTGTGCAGACAAGCTCTGGAACAACGCCTCGGGCCCTTTCTGGGGAAGTCTGAGAAGGAATGAGCCATGAATGGAGCAGTCCTAAATAGCCAGTGCTCGGTAAGACCCAGGAAGAGAAGCAGAGAACTGTTGAGGAAGGAGCCCACTGGGGAAATTACGCAGCCTCCAAGTGTTCCAGAGACAGGTCTGTCCCTCTGGAGAATTTGCCTGGAAGTGCATTCGCAGAATGTCAGATTCCCTGGTATTCACAAGTAAGTAGAAAAACACCTTCCCAGAGCAGCCAGGATGGTTTTCTGCTCCACTGGGCAGCCTCCACCTGTGCAAATCACCCTGAGATGACTGTTGTCTGAAAACTGCCTTATCTTATTGCCTTGTTCCAAGGGTGAACACCAAGATGCTCACATCCTACTTGATGATATTACCAAACCACTAACTTTATGCCAGGGTGAGAATGCAGTACTGAAATTGTCCAGATTGTCAAACCTCTAACTAACTCATCCCGTGTGGGCCTTTTCATTCCCACCTAACTGTTAAATGCTGGCTTTAAAAAAAAAAAAAAAAAAAGCTTGTGTCCAAGAAATTCATTGCATACAAATTTCTATTTCTCTACCCACTCCTCCTACCCTGTCAACCAACCACCGCCTTCCCTCCTCTCCACCACTCCCTCTGAAATCATTTCCATTTATATTAGCCTCTCCTAAGCCTTCCTTTTTAGGAGTACATAAATTTGAGAGCTTAACTAAATTGAATATGTCCCTTTAAATAAAGTCATCTCACCCTGTAAAAGTCAGCACAGAGACCTCCATGTCTGGCTCTCACCTCGAGGGTTAAAGTGCTGGCTATTCAGCGGGGCTTCGCGGAGGCTTCCCCTGGAAGGCGAGCTCTGGAAGGTATTTTGGCGTGCTACATGCAAACGCAGCAGCCAACGGATCTCATCATTTCTAAATGTCAGCCTTAGTATAATCCCTCTGACCCGTTCCAAAGCTTATAGGTCACAGAACATTTTATCTGGCAGTGTCTCTTATATATTTTTTTTCAGGTTTAAAGTGTTATCCATTTTCCCTTCCATCCTCCTCTGAAGGAGACCTGGCTCTTCTATACATATGGTGAGCAAGGCATCAAGGAATTCAAGCAAATGATAAAAATATGTCTGCTGGGAAATAAATTTCTTTTTCTGAAATCAATCATGTGCTATTCACACAAGCAGAAGAAATAGCCTGTCATACCTCTTATCTCACTGCCTCACTCCACTCAGGCGGCCCGTGCAAACACTTAAAGGCCAGAGGCTTTCTCTCTCGGTCCTCTTTCTCCCACAGCAGAAGGGAAGGGAGGCTGAGATATGTGGACAGACAGGTCGACGGGCGTGACTAGCCTGAAATGATTGGCTGGCTGTCATAGAAGCAGATAGCTGGATGTGTCCATTATCCCGTGCAGATAGTGTGCATAGCCATCAGCACCGTGGGAGGAAGAGGCGTCCTCTTCCCTGCAGCTCAGAATAGAAATGGGAGTCTGTATTATCCCCACCTCCCCATAGGGCCTCATTTTGATGTTGGTGCCCATGGCTTCTGGCTTTGTGGAGAACAAGGGTATTGCTGTAAATGGCACTTTCAAAACCTGTTTTAAAACAGAGTGATTTGGCCAAGCCGTGGTTCTTAACCACATCATGGAAAGGGGAGTCTTGACCATAAATCCCCGTTGCCGTATTGAGCATATTGAGCCTAGGGGCAAAGCTGCTCTGCCCTTGACTCTCTGGGTGACCCTGGGGAAATCCCGGAGCCTCTCCAGCCTCAGAGATCATTCAGGGCTGTTGCTTGGATTAAATAAAATGTGCATGTAAGCACTTCATCCAGCTTTTAGCACATGCTAGGGAGTGCTATAGTGTTAGGCGGGGAAAGGCAGTGAATCTGACAATCATTAGAGTTGCTTCAAGAAAGCTGTTTCCAACCACTCAAACAGCACATTCAAAATTGGGGGGTAGTTACTTGGTGCCAACTTGTGCCTGTCTCCGAGGACCTCCTAATATTTTAGAGGCCAAACTTGCTTTCTTTGGGCGGTAGTGAAAGGGACAAATGGGGAGACCAAAGCAGAGTAGAGTACATTGTTGTTGACTTCAGTGGTCATACTATGGACGACCAAAGCTTCAGGGTTGCCGAGAGCCGGAGATAACTTTTTATCTGAAATTACTTAGAAAAAATATTTTTTGACTAATTTTGCCCTTTTTTAATGCCTAAGACTCCTATTGATTTCTAGGAAAACAATATTTGCTTAAAGATAAAGAAAAGCATGGTGGGGGAAAAAACTGAACAAAAGCTGCTCTTAGCTGTACTCACACAATGACTACTGACCATCTTATTTTTAAGGTATAAAATGAGAGATATTTAAAGCTAAAACGGAGGGACTGGCTCCATGGCCGAGTGGTTAGGTTCACACATTCCACTTCAGCGGCCCAGAGTTCATCACTTGAGATCCTGAACACGGCCCTACACACCACTCGTCAAGCCATGCAGTGGTGGCATCCCATATAGAAGTGCTGGAATGACCTAAAACTGTGCACTGGGGCTTTGGGAAGGAAAATAAAAGGAAGAAGATTGGCAACAGATGTTAGATCAGGGCCAATCTTCCTTAAATAAAAGCTAAAAAGAATAAAATAGATCCTGAAAAAAGAGTACTACTCATTTTGCCTTGTATTATATGATCAATTAAAATTAAGAATAACTGCTGTTTATCGAGTGCCTATTACAAGCTGGGGATTATGCCAGATTCTGATCTATTATCTAGAATCCTCACATAACCCTACAAAGTAGGTAGTTTGTTGCCCACGTTAGAGACAGAGAAACTCAGAGAGGTTGCATGATTTTCCCAAAGTCACACAGCTGGTCAGTGACATGGCCAAGGCTTGAATCCAGGTCTATCAGACCTTGAGTCCATTCTCTCTCTCTCTATTTTCACCTTTATGTCCCCTAAGGAACAACCATTTAAGACGTCTTAGGAACTGAGATAGAATTTTAATACCTTGCAGGCTTGTACCAATGCAAAACAAAACATGGAGATGTTCTATAAAGGCAAACTTTCGCTCAATCATGCAGGTCAGCGTGACTGTGTAGACCTGGATGTTCACATCTGAACCCAGAGTAATGAAGCTCCAGGCCCAAACTGTGTGATTACAAATCTGGAGAAGACCCTGAAGGCCTAACTTGAGGGCGCTGGTTATAATCGTCGGGTGACCCTTCCCAGGTGGCTCAGCCGGGAGTGAGCTGGAGAGCAGGTGGGGACTCCGAATCTAGTGCTGCCAGGAGTTTGCTCTCCCCAAAATCTACCCGCTACTAAAGCACATCTTATTCTATGCTGCCTCTCGTTGTCTGAATGATCTTTCATTCATTTCAAAAGAGTATTTTTATAAACTCTTCATCCATTTAAGAGCTTTTTCATCCCCAGCCCCTTTAGGAGTCTTTTTGCTTGAACGCGACCCTGCTGTCCTCTGATTTCAGCTCCAACCAGTCTCTTAGGTGCCCCCAGATATCGCTTGCTCCACAGTTTGCATCCGTCCCCTTCCCCAAAGCCCAGGAACACTGGACAAACAGAACGTCACCAGCCAGGCACCTCTATTTTGAATCACATCCTTCCCCACTCTTTAAGTGTGCTTAAGCTGAGGTTTCCTGGGCAGCTTGTGGGAGCCCGCAGAACAACGCACACAAAACCCTCCAAAGTCAGTGCCATTTTCCCCACTTCGCATCCATGAAGACACTCACCCTTGAGAGGTTGCGTAGCTTGTCCAAGGTCACGTAGCTCATAGAAGGCTGAGCTGGGGATTAAACTATGATCTAAACCGTGATCTTTTAACTGTGTTGTGCAGCTGTGAGTAGAGAAATAATGACTATTAAGTACTTAGAACAAAGAAGAGACTAAGCACACGTTGGTTGCCTTAATGAGCTGTAACAAGGACATCCTACGATCATCCATTTGTTTTCTAGGAACAGAAGTAAAAGGTCAGAGGGAAACAAAAATCCTCAGGGGTCAGACTTCTGGAAAAAAAAAAAATTCCAGGCTCTGCACCACCTCACTGGTGAGCTGCATGAGTCTGGAAAAGTTGGTTACTAAAAAATCATTGTTTACTATTCATTGATATGGCTCTCCCCACCAGAATATAAGTCCCCATCAAATAGGCATTCGGTCTGTTCTTTTCTTTCCACCCAGAACAAAGCCTCGCCCCGATTTGGTATTTAATAAGCAGTCATTGCCTGAGTGCAGACTTCTTTTCTGCCACTTTACTCCCAAGGTAATCATGTCAAATGTGTTCGTTTTACAGTCCTTTCCTGCATTGCACCCCACTCCCTCATCAATCAGTCATCATCATCATTGTCAACATGAGCTCCATCAAGAGTTTCTGGGTCTCTCAGTAACAGAAGGGTTTTTGTGACTAGCTAGTCACATGTCTGGTGAGATGCATAGTTATAGTAATAAAAATACCAATAATATCTAACACTTCCTGAGAGCTTACTCTAAACCAGGCACCATGTAAGAGCTAAGGCAGGTCATTCTCACCACAAGAATCCCCATCTTACAGATGATACAATTAAGGCTTAGAGAGCATTGGTCCCTTGCCTGGGGTCACACAGTGAAGAGCCAGCAATTGTATCTGAAACTGATTGATTCTAGAGCCCTTCTCCACCATTAGACTACAGAGCTTGACAGAATGAGGATGAAAATGTAAATCTTTTATACAAAAGACTCTGCTCTTTCCAAGACCTTGCCTTGAATCGTATGTCATGCTCTAAATCCATGGATGAGATCGCAGGATTTAATGCAATTCCCGTGGCTCTGAGACCAAAGGCATTTCGCCTCTTCGCAAAATGTGTAGACAGAGAAAGTGCCTATAACATAGCTGACTGTTTGCATTCAGGCAGTGCTGAAAACCTGGAGACGGCGATAGTTCAGAGGCAGAGCACGTGAGAGCGGGGCTGTCCTCTTCAGCTGGCAGGTGCGTGGTGGCAGCTGCAGTGGTTCCTGAGGAGGAGTCAGAGGTCACAGCCCTCTTTTCAATTAGAGGACTCCTGGCCTGCCAGCTCTCAGTACCACTGCCGTTCAGACAGACGGTGCCTGTGTGTGGGCAGGATCCTCGAGCATCCCCACCAGGCACCCCTCTCAACTGCTCCATGTGAGGCCAGAGAATAACAACCCCCAGGCATCCTGTCACCTCAACAGGGCTCAGGATGGGCCACTGGACAGCTGGCACAGTCTGTTTTGTGTAACATTCAGGAAAAGGCAGCAGAATCTCTGAACCTACTATTAATGTCTCCTTAGTTGCAATCTGAGGAAGAGATCTCAGCTGCTCGGATCTTCATTTCATAAGACACAGTGTTCTGTTGTACTGGTTAGGATACCATTGCAGCTGCTGAAACAGAGGCCGAGATAAGTGACTTTAATAGGGTGGTTTATTTTTCTCACGTGAAAGTCCATAAAGAGCTGTTCAGGGCTATATAGGGCTCCCCACTGTCAGGGGACCAGGCACCTTACATCTGGTGCTTTGGCATTTTCATCATGAAGATTCTTTTTGCTCAAGCTCCAAGATAGCTGCTCTAGCTCCTTCCATTATATTCATATTCCAGCCACAGAAATGGAGAGGAGGGGAAAGTTGAAAGGGACAACATGTCTATTCCTTTTAAGGCCTCAATGAGAAGCAGCACCCAGATCTCCCACTCATACACCATTGAGCAGAACTCAGTCAAGCAGCCAACCAAGCCACATGGGAGGTTCCGAAATGTAGTCTTTAGCTAAAAAGCCGTGCACTGTGGTAAATCTTAGGAATTTTATTACTAAAGAAACAGGTGGGAAATAGATATTGGAGGAAACTCTGATACAATTTT